AAAAAAAAAAAAAAAAGCTGTTGTTGTCATCTTTAAAGGCTGGTCATATAGCTCAGTGCCTAGTATGTAGGAGACTGTAGTCCCTGATAAAACAGCAGAGCAGAAGGCCCAGAAACAGCTGCCTCCCATCTCACAGGAGGAGTGTGGGAGTTACAGATGCCTACCACAGAATTCAGCTTTTTTACACGAGCTCTAGGGATTGAATTTAGGTCTCCAGGCTTTTGATAAGTACTTTTACACCATGCCATTTCATTAGCCCCTTCTCATGTTTTAAGAAATTATCTGTTCTGAATCATAAACATAAGTTTTTAGTTCAATTTCCAATACTATCAAGAAAAAAGTCTTGATGATACCAAATTTTTTGGAAAAACCCAGTCCCACTGTTTGAAAATAGGCCACAAAGCCAAAGGCACAAAAGATCAAAAGCAAAGGGAGCCGGATCCAGGATAGCACAAAGTGCAATTTATTAGTGACCTCTATGGACAAAAATGTATTCTGCACAGCAGTAAGACAGCCCGGTTCCCACAGCTCAAGACAAGAGGAAGGAGTTTATATGCTACACTAGACAAAGGTAGACCACCGTCAACAGGAATGTACCTGGGTTTCCTCAAAAACATGTCAAACGTCAGTTAAACAGTCTGGATATGTCAGTGGCTGGCGTACTACTCTTGAATGACTATCTTAGTAACTTTGTTTTGTTCTGCTGTGTGTGGGATGTGTGCCAGGGTAAAATGGTGTTTATGACCAAAGATGGCTGTAGGTGTGACATGCTGCATCCCTGCCTAAGTGTGGGTGGATTTTTGGTGAAGTGGAAATGCTCATAGTTAATTATATTGTTATTTATTTGTTACAGGTTTATTTGTTTGTTTGTTTTTTTTCCTGGTTTTTTTGAGACAGGGTCTCCCTGTAGCCCCAGCTGGCCTGGAACTCAGAGATCCAGCTGCCTCTGCCTCCCTGGTGCTGGGATTAAAGGCGTGCAGGCATGGGTCTATGTGTGGTTGCACATCCCACTGTGGCATGTAGAGGTCAGAGGACAACTTGAGGGAATCAGTTCTTTCCCTCCATCATGCAGGTTCTGGGGATCAAACTCAGATTGTCAGGCTTAGCAGGAAGTGCCTTTAACCATCTCACTGGCCCCAAAGCAGCTCCAGCAGCTGCTCCTCCTCCTCCTCCTCCTCCTCTTCCTCCTCCTCCTCACTGGCCCCAAAGCTGCTGCTGCTTCTTCTTCTTCCTCTCCTCCTCCTCCTCCTCCTCCTCCCCTCCCCTCCCCTCCTTTTTTGTAAGGTCAGGGTGATACTATGTTGTCCAAGTTGATCTCAAATTCATGATTGTCCTGTCTCCATCTCCTGAGTTCTGGAATTACAGGTGTATATCAATCACCAGGCCAACTCAAAAGCTGTTTTTGTTTTTTGATACTCTCGTTGAGCAAATACTACAAGCCAAGTGCTTCGCTGAAAGTTTAGAGAGAGGATAATTAACCTGTGCAAGGTCATAGAGCAAGCAGTAAATGGTATTTTACTTTGAACCCAGTGTCTATGACTCCAAAGCTATAATCTTAATCTCCCGGAAGCAAATATATAAAAATTAAATCACTTCTGAGTCCAAAAATGAGGTTGTGGGACATTACTCTGTTTGCAAGATTCTATGTAGTAGTCTCACATTTTTTGATTATTCAAAAATTGTCTTCCAGAAATAGTGGGAAACTTGTCAATTGCTAAGGATATATTTAAAATGATCAGTTGGACAATCATTTTCCAAGTGCCTTCCTTGGACTATTGAACCCAAAGAGTGATTCATGAAGAGTTTTACAGAAAATTAACCTTTGTGGAAAATCCAGTTGCTAATTAATATTGTAAATTAGATTAAAAGCTCCAGTATACTGCGCAGAAGTATTTAACTTCTTGTGGTTCCAAAAACCTTTAAGCCATAGGATGCTTTTGTCTTATAATACTTATTAAAATGCACATTGGAAAACTGGGCTGCATCAGAAAAATAAGAAAAGAACAATCTTCTAAGAGGATAAATGACTTTGATGGAAAGCATCATATCAGGCAGTGGAGTCAAGGATTTCCTTGATTTTCTGAGCCTTTGCATTCCCAAATGGCTACAAACACCTGTAGATCCAAGTGGGCAAAGAATAGAATATGAACACAGCAGTTTAAAGGAAACTACAAAAGCATTTCTGTGGTGAACAGTCAGAACACGCCTTCACAAACCTGGGAGGCTTTTGAGGTAGCAGTTGACTGTTCCATATCTATATGAATGAATGTGCACCAAGAGTTAATCAGTGTGACAGTTAGGAGTTTGACCTTAACTTAGCAGGTGCAAATATACATTATTGTTACATATATGTAACTAATAAAGAAGTCATGAAATTGAGAGGTAGCAGGGCAGGAAGTGGGAGGAGTTGGAACAGGAAGAAGGAAGGTGGAAAGTATGTAAATACAGTACTCATTAATTAAATTCTCAAAAAAAAAACAAATGGTGTGGTTTAAGGGCAGGAAGACAGCCCAGGGGGGTAAAGGTGCTTACCACCAAGCCTAACATCCTGAGTTCAATCCCTGAGACCCACAAGGTGGAAGGAGAGAACTGATTCCTCAAGTAAGTTGTCCTCTGACCTTCACACACGTCATTGCATATGTGCACCCACACATACACACACACACACACTATATATATATACATATATATTCAAAAAAATCATGAAATATGGTATTGGGCATTGTAAACCCAATACTTGAGAGATGGAGGCAGGAAGATCAAGAGTTCAAGGGGAAAAAGGACAAAATAAAGGGAGGGAAGGAAAAGAAAATAAAAAGAATGGCCTTAACATCAGGAAGGCCTGGGTTTAATCTCAGCTCTTCACTTGCAGGCAGCACTGCCATGAACAGGGTGTTTTATTCGGTCTGCTTTCCTGAGAAAGCCTGTAATATTGGGGTGGAGATAGGAACGCTTACAAGGTCATTTCTTTCATTCATCAAATAGTTACAGAGCAGTTGTTCTAGACCCTTGGAGACAGAAAGAAGAAAAGCCTAACAAAGACCCGCCTCCATGGCAGAGGCAAATAATACTCAATAAAGAAGTAAAGAATCTCACTGAACTGGGCGGGCACATCGTGGGCTCCCAGGTCATGCTAGCCAAAGTCTGAGCATTGTAGCTGAAAGTAGGAGAGAACCAAGCATAACTCAGGGAGAAAGAAGGGTTGAATAGAAAGTCCTTGGGGCAAAAGCAGTTCAGCATGGTTGCTGGGAGGATGAAGGCACGGTAGTGTTGCAAGCCTTCAAACAGAGAAGACCTGAGATGCACAGATTTTTTTTTCTCTTTCTTTCTTTCTTTCTTTCTTTCTTTCTTTCTTTCTTTCTTTCTTTCTTTCTTTCTTTCCTTCCTTCCTTCCTTCCTTCCTTCCTTCCTTCCTTCCTTCTTTCCTTTTGATAGGGTCTCCTTGTAGCCCCAGTTGGCCTAGAACTCCCTATGTAGACCAGGCTAACCTCAGTATCACACAGATCCACCTGCCTCTGCCTCCTGAGTGCTAGGTTAAAGGCGTGTGCCACCATGCCTGGCTAGATGCACAGATTTTTTTTCTTTTTCTTCTTCTCTTTTTTTTTTTTTTTTTTTTTTTTTTAAAAAAAAAAAAAAAAAAAAAAAAAAAAAGAGGACGATAAATCTTTCACTGTGATATATCAAAATAA